TGTAATCTAACCACTTTAGTCTTTGAACCAGCTTAACTTCAATGCAGGCAGAAATTTACATTTGAGGAAGACCAACGACAAGTGAACGTATTCACTAAATGTGACAGCCACTTCAGTAGGCGAAGTTGTGTGAAATTCATTTCTTACCTGGTAACCCTTTTCAAATGGTTCATAATCTCTTCCCATTTTCCACATACTGCCAGTAGCCCTATTTCACGAAAACAAATCAATACAGAATAAACTACCGCTTAGTATATTTATGCTTTGCTTGGTAGCTGGATGGCAGAAAAGTTAAAATTTTAGCCAAAGACAAACAGTCCTTCTATATTCAGGATTCTTTTTCTCCATTTCAAAAGCTCTGAAGAATAAATTGAAACAAATTACTCATATCGAAGATTCAAAAAATACTATTGAGTTATCCACTCAAAAACTGTTTTCTTTATCGTCAATTTACATCGATGTAAACTTAAATGTAACATTATTTTCAAATTTAAAAAAAATTATAATTTTAGAATAAAAAAAACAAAAATTTCACATTAAGATTGGATCACCACAGTTACCTATGTTGGGTTTCTTGTAATTACGACAAACAAAACAAAACAAAATGCCAGGTGAAAACATCACTTCAGTGAATGATCACTCAAGGTCATAGCACAGACGTTTGAAAGTTTCTCAAGGTCACACGTGTGTGTGTATGTGCTGTAGGCAGTTGAATCATTACAACACACACTACACTGCCAATACCACATAGATCACTAATTATTCATAAACTATACTTGGTGTGTCACAATCCCAGTTCTGTACACGCTTTCACTTCGTGATTTGTTTTTAGTTATATTCTTAAAAAAATTATTGAACATTGAAATAATTCAAATAGTCATTACTGGTATATACTTGTATAGAAAGTAATTCAATATCTATGCGCATTACAATCAGGTATGATTGTTTGTATACACGTATAAAAAGAATTTGAATCATATGCATCATTATAATAATAATTCATAAATGTTTTATATACAATTCACGTCAAAATGATGATGATAATTGACCTTTGTTCATTAAAATAATCCTATTCATACAACTTAGATTATTACTAATATTAGTTACAATACGATCATGCATCCTATGCGTGTTCATGCTAATTAATTAATTGTAGGGTATTCTGTTCACTTAGGTTCTTTTAATTATTTCACTCTGTCTCATGCGTGTACACACCCACTTGTTTAAAAAGTATTATTATAAGTAAATAAATATCTTATCTTACCTGATGCATGGAAAGACATTAAAATTGTCCCTGTCCCTAAACCTGGAAACAGCGAGAACGTAATGTCCAGACCCATTGCCATCACTTCCCCGTTTCTAAAGCTTATGGAAAAACCAGTACTTCTTACACTTGAACCCTCCCTTAAAAACTTTGAAGATCCCAAACAATTTGCCTATAGACAGGGTAGGAGCACTTTAGACGCTGCAGCCGTCCTACACAACAACATCGTCTCATCAGTAGATAAAGGTGCCAAATACGTCCGCTGCACGTTTCTCGACTTAACTTCTGCTTTCGACTCTGTACCTAGATGTCTCTTGCTAAATAAGCTCTCGATGACACAAACTGAGTCCTGGGTCACAAACCGGTTGCATTCCTATTTCTCAAACAGAATGCAGTACACTGTATAAAAAGGTAATTCCTCCTCTGCTGTGCTCACTGAAGCTGGTGTCTCCAAGGTGCTGTACTCTCCCCACTTCTCTTTTCTTTCTTTCTACATGACTTACCATCTTCAAATGACATCAATTTTGTCAAATATGCTGACGACCTGACAGTATCTTTGCCTGTCAAATGTCAAAGTGACTGCTCTAAACTTAATGACTTTCTGTCAAAAATCAGCCAGTGGTTCAAGGAAAATGGTCTTACCTTAAACCCCTCCAAATGACAAACAGTCAATTTCACCTTGAGGCATAAATCCGACCTAAACAAACTGGTTGGCTCTCACGAGGTGTGCAACATAGATGGCACTGAAATAGAAACCAAGTCGAAAATTAAATACCTAGGTGTCATTCTATCTGCTGATCTTTCCTGGTCGTCTCATATCTTGGCGATTTCTAAGAAAATATTCCGTCTTACCTTCTACATCAAGAAGTTAAAACATTCTGGTATAACCCAACCCTTACTCCTACAATTCGTTAACTCTCGCATTCTGCCTATTATTCTCTATTGTTCCCCCTTAGTTTTTCCCGGGCTACTGAAGAAAGACTATAACATATTACGCAGGATGTTAAAGGTTGTCAGCAGGGTAAGCAGCGTGCCACTTAACTAGCTTGTTAATATTCTGGTTGACAGGCACTTGGACTCATGTGAAAAATGGGCTAAATCCATTTTATCTAACTCACACCACCCTCTTCACTCACAACTCTCCCCTTGCATCTCACCAAGCAGAACCAGAAGCCTATATAGGAAACTATATGCTCTCACTAGCAAGTACAAAAACTCAACCATACCCTACTTAGCTCGTGTTCTGTGCGATAAAGAAAGTATTAGGCGTGACACCTATAATTCATTAAATAGTCAGTAGTACAACTGGATCTCGTCTTTCCAACTCATATCATTTATAGGTACAACATTTTCTTTCTTTCTTTTCCTTTTCTCCCTCTCTCTTTTTCCGTTATGTGCTGCTTTGTTTCTTTCTTCCGCTTACGCCAGTAAATATGATAGTACCTACTTTTCTAACACCTTCAAACACTGTTCAATTTTGGCTTTGCTACCGAGATGCCAATGTGTTGTTGTAATAATGAACTGAGATTTCCTTAATCTATGTAGAATTCTATTTGTTGATAATGTACTCACTGGATGCAATACTGTAGTAAAAATGCTGAGAATTCCATTCTGTATCACAAGTACTGTTTTGGAATAAAGCAAATTATTATTATTATTACACTTGGAAATTTTATCTCTTCTCGATATGATGATGAGCAATAACTTTCCTTCAATACTTTTTCAAAAATTCTATCCATTAAAAAAACTAGTAAAATTGCAGTGGTTAACGATATCTGAAACCATAATAGTGAACACTTATCCCCTGACAAAATACACAGAAGTATTGAAGGTAATAAAGTTACCTAGAGCTGTGAAAGTAACAGGATGAGTACGAATCTTCCCAAGCGACAGTGAAAACAGTTACACAAATTGAAAACATTCCTTTCCAGGAGTAAATTTAAAATAAGCAACAACTGTGGAAAAAAAAACAGTACTTAGTCAGTGAAACGTCGGTTAGAGCAAGCAATTAAACGAACCTATTATGCAGCTGATATGTTGCTTATAAACACAACAGTGGGGGATAGTGCAAGCAACAGACAAAAATAAGAGATTATCGCTCCATCACTTTACACGTGTTTGTGGAAGGTAATACACTGGAAATACGGAAAGGTGTTCAGTAGATCGCGTTGCTGAACACTGCCGCAGTGGATTTTTAGTACTCATGATGGTATTGCAAGGAACCAGATCATACGATATTTATTGGACTGTGATCATACGGTGACTCTGGGTACAAACTTGATAACTATTAATAAGTAAGGTAATAAATAAGCTTTTGATTTTACTGAAGCCTACACAGTCATATTAAAGAATCCGGATCCATGTATATAACAGGAGACAGTAGTTAATTTAAACCGTACTTTTATAATTTTCCTTCTCTTTTCTTTTTAAATTGATTTTTGCATTATCATTACTTTATCTGATATACTGTTAGTTTTTTTAGATTATGTGAAAACCGAAAATCATAGTTGATCATTAAACTTGATGACGAGTGTTCAAACTACCTTATGAATTAAGTTCAGATATAATAAAATTTCGATTGGATGATGGTGATTAGCAGTGGAATCTAGGATGCCCATTTCGTCCTATTTGGGACTTGTCATGTGGATGTGCATGCATCCCCCAGTGTGTGCTGATGTTCCCTGCGAGGCTCAAACTCAATTTCCATAGTCTCAAACGCCAAAGCGTTATCCACGAGACTACTTGGGCCACGACAGCCATATCTTGTTCAGTGGGTCTTCTTAATTATTTAATTCAATTCAGATTTTGCCGTCGATTGATTGGACCGAGGCGCTTGGCCTCAGGTTGATACATCTCCATTACGAAGACGTCAATATATATATATATATAAGACATAGTATGGAGGTATAATAAAGGTCACATTACCTGTGTATGTATAATTAACGTAGGGTAATATGAGTATGAAGGCACTGAGTTCATCTTCAGAAGCAAGCGTTCAGCTCCAAAGTCACAGAAACATTTTCCTGTGTTATTTATAGTAAATTAAGCTGGTAATCTCCTCAAGCTATTTCTATGGCTTTATACTGTTTGTCTAACGTAGTCACCTTATGAGTAACAGGGATCATTTATATTCTGAAACCATTAGATTCATAATAATAGTAATAACAATAAAAATAGCTTTATTCCGATTAGTGTTTATATAATGTACAGATTTTTTTAGTGAAGTTTACTACATGATATTTTGTCGTCTTCTAGGATCTTCATATAAAAGATATGATGGACAGTCAATCGTGTGACATAGTTTTATCTGACCTGAAGCAAAAGTCATTCCACTATGATATCGCTTCTTTTCTCCTTCGAAAGATACACGACATTTTATTGAATGCCCATCATAAAACTTTCCGGAGAACATTTTTTGAACAAAGGACACCACTCAGGAACCGTTATCTCATGTGTTGGGATAACGTGCCATGGAGGATAATGCTTATTCCCATGTTTGATAAGAAACCTGCTGATCAGCAGGTTGTAAATATTTTAAATACTCGCGAGAATAAATAATACTAATAGAAGTCATAGTTTACTAGATTTAAAGAAATTGACTGAGAGAAAATATACACAGTCTATTGATGGAAATTATCGGTAGCTGAAGTTTTAAGCAGCTCTCTATTCGTATAAGCCATTCACCTGACTGAATGATATGTTACACTTCATTTATTGCCAGACATTTAGAAGTACTTCATGATGGTCTGTGCGTTTCGGTTACACCAACGCCACCAATATAGTAGAATAGGATCTTACCTCTGTTCGTTGTACTAACTTCAGATTCACTTGAATTAAAACAGGAAAGACGAACAAAGTCACGTAAATGAGCTGAGTGCAAAGTTAAAGGATTATAAAACAATATAAATGGTAAATAATAATCATCAGTAGGAAGTGCATAATTGTTTAAATTCTTTTCATGCGACAGGTTTTGCTGACCTTTCTGCTTCTTTTTCTCTAAAACTATCTGGGCAGTATACATGGATGATTAGTAATCTCATTTGATAAGACGGCACCAAAAATCACTCTTCACTCTGTAAGAAGACAAGCTGTGAGTCAAATTATATTCGCTTTGCAGATTGTTTAAAGAAATAATATTGTGTAAGGTTAGTAGGCTATTGATACAACCTTTAAGTTTTCCACTTACATCGCTCCACTGAAAACCCTCACATATGCATTCACAAAATCCCAAGATGTTCAAGCATCATAATTATCTGTTATAAATGAAACAGACAGTCACTAATTCATTGACTTAACTCACATCTGGTCAACTAGAAAAATATACTAACCCCGATAAAAATTTAATTTAATTTCAGTTGTTAAATTTCGTCACGCACCAACATGAGTTAGAGAAATCATTCAAAATCAGAAGGGAATGAACAACCGTTTAGTCTTATTGTGAGACTCTTCAACACTGCCCACGTACGAGCCAAGGACCCTCAGGTTACGAGACCAAGCTGATCGAGGATTCAGCCACTTATGCTGGAATTCAACATTGCTTGAATACTAACTCTGTCAACTAGTGACATAGCTCTGCACTCACCAATGCCTTCATGGAGAATTCATTTCCCGTCGACATGGTGGACCTCACTGGTCACGACTTCTCAGGGAATCCATCTAACAGCCATCAGTGAGGTGAAGATTGATATTAAGATTATTAGTTTTTGTGAGGATTTGGGTTTATTTATTTAATTTCATTTGTTAGGCTTCGTCACGAATCAACATCAGTTAAAGAGATCATTGAAAACCAGGGAGCGCTAGGCAGCTGCTTTGTCTCAAAATCTAAAAATTCAATCACCTACTATATTTTACATTAAAGGGGAGGAAGTAACGTGATTTAGCAGTAGCTGACTACCTCCATACAATTGTGATAACTGAGGAGCTTATATTTATATCCTAAGTGATATTTTCCCTGTGGCTACTTTAAATTCAGTTTATTGGAATGTCAGGTTTCAGGATGAAATCCACCTTCAGCTGGGTAATGAACTATGACCTGCTAAATTCCCAGTCTCCTTCTCTATCTCACCAAAGACATTAATTTTTGAAAAGCAAAAAACGAGATGACTTCAAAAACTGTTGGCTATGAAGTAAAGACTCTTCGCAATGCAGATTCCACAGCACATATTTCTTATCTCTTTTTCCACTCAAATCTTATTCCTAAATTCGATCGAAGATTGTAGTTCAAAAACAAAATAGCTATACAGTAGGCTACTGATTGATTGAGATGAGTAGTTGCTTAGCATTCACATCAACCAGTAGTGTTTAAAACACTTCGATCTGGCAGTCTAACAGATGGCATATTGTGATCTGAATAATTTTGGTCTCCAAAAGAAACTGGTGAAATTTCACCTGGAGCTGTGCAAATTGCAAATAATTTGCTAGTTGTGAATTTAAATTAAGATAATCATGGTCAGTTGAGTTAATTTCATTAAGTCAACTAGACTACTAACAAGTAGCATAAAGGTTTTAGAGCGTTTTTATTTATTTATTTATTATTTTAGATTATAGCTTGATTCCACACCATATTTTTGGTAACAGTATGGAATTTTCAGCATGTGATATCAGTAGTTCAAATTTGACAGGTGTGCGTCAGCAGGAGACCGGACGCCGGACCATATGCATGGTCGGCGAGCATCCTAACCGCTGTGCCACCGATAAGTTGATTCAATAATATTGCAAACCATGATCGATCAACAGCTTAATTCATCGATAATTCGCTTACATGAACAAGGATATTAAAAAGTTACGATTTCTGGAGTATACGTAAACACCATTTCAACAACACTACTTAAAAATTCCTCTCCCACTTACTATACAATATGAACGGCAGTTTCTCACTAACTGGACATTCGATTATCGTAGAAAGCACAATCCTTCTTCCGTATGCACTGTTTCATAAGGAGTAAGGAAATACTTACCGATGTCTGATTACGAGCTGACATCAGTCAGTGAACCACTAGAAAACTAGGGAGTACTGGACAGCTGTTTCGTCCTAGTCTGAGACTCTTCAGGAGTACGCACTAATACTCCATGGTATTCCAGTGTTTCTCTAACTGATGTCAGCATAAAACGTGACTAAACCCGTAACTAATCAAATCCCTTCAAACCGACATTTGAAGATTTGCCGATGTATTATATCATTTATATGACTGCCGAAGTACTCAATCCAATTAATACAGTTAAAGCACTCCATTTTACTGCTAACACACTGTGATCTTAATTCGCCCCGCAGAGTCAATGGACTGCATCTGAAATTTTTAATTATACGATGAGTAGCTGACCTGACCCCACTGGCTATCTGGGCTAAAGACAGACTAACAGTTCGAACTTTAGTCAATTTGAGTCTAGTGAAAAGGAGGAGGAGGATAATTAGCTAAATGAATTTCCTCTGCTAGTTTCCACTATCGTTTCACTTCTTGGAATATCTAATTCAGATGTTCAAGTAAGGGAATTTCCCGAGCATAGATTTGAACAATGACTACTACTCCCTCATAAACAAAGAATACAAAGTTAATACTACACAGTGAAAAACAATATATATTTTTAGAAATTGGAAACAAATTGTAGCTATTCAAACAAATGGAGCTTTGGTGACTTAATCTCTGTTATATGATTTATTTACTTAAAGCTTAAGTGACAGAGACACTAAATTCGAGAAACTGCTTCATGGGACGATAGATCTAGTCCCATCATCTACTCAAGAACTTATTAATTTATTTATTATTCCCTTGGGTTCCTAGTGGAGCATAGGGTTTCAGATGCTGTTAGCGACATCATGATAACTGCTTCTTCACTGCACTCATAGTTGTCGTCTAGGTGATCAGAGTAGATTACTAACTCTTCATTTATCAGTTTGGAGAGTCCACTTCCATTCCATTTGTTGTCAAAAGTTTTCAGCACTACTTCTTATCTCTCTGAAAATCTGAGCAGCCTTCCAGGCTAGCTACGAATATTCTGTGAACACTCCATGTCCAAATGCTTATTTGCACATCATCGAAGGTAGACACATCAGCTGACTGGGTTTTTAAAGGCTTCCACCAGTCAGTGTCATTCTGTCTCTCCAATTACAGTAAAGAATAAGTTTGTTTTTGATATTATTTCTGTACTTTAGAGTCTCTGTAAGAAATAGGGTCGCTATCTCCAAGCCCAAACTTCCCTCTTTTTGCGGGCTCCGGACCGAGTAGTGAACTAGGCGAGATTAATCTATAACTAGAAAACTTCAAATCCAATGTGGTAGATTTGTGTTTCCAGTTGAAAAGCAGCAGATATAGTTTAAGAAACAATCAGAAAACTCTTAACAGATGATAGATCAGACATTGAAGAACTTGACAAGAGAACGGGAATAGTTATTTCTGATAAGTATGACAACAAAGAGGGATGACTGATATCCTGATTGAGGCAGGAAGATTTTAGAGACTCAGAGAACTTAGGAGTTTAATTGAACTAAGTGGTGTTAATTGAAATCAACTTAAAGAAAAAAAAAGTAATTTCATTAACTTTGTTTGAAACAGTCAAGCTGAAAAGTACCTACTTATCAAGATTACAGCGTACAGGGTCCAGAATTTATGAATCACCGGTACTGTAAAGAACTAACCATGACATGCCATTTCCTGCATAATCTTGAGAAATAATTGTCCACTATTTTGAAAACACAGATAAGTAGTGAGATGGAGCATCAAAGATGTCTTTTTTAATTCGTGGATGAAACCGAAAATGTTAATATTAACTATGAAACCATTTCCTTAGAGGTATTCCCTCTCCTTGCCAATGGTCATTGGAATATGTGAACAGATGGAGGCAACACCTATAAATATCGGGATTCTATTAGAAATCTTAAAGGCATTATTGCGGCAGTGTGCTCTGAACGTTCATTTTAAATTCAGTGGGGAACTGTTTCGTCTTTAGACTTTGATCGCACACCTTCAAAATCGCTTATACTACAGTAATTCACTTTGAAAATAAACCCTAAAATATTACATTTTGGTAATTTAATTTTCTCCTGAATGTACCATCATTTACCTATTCATCTTGAACTGAATCCTACCAAACTTCGAATTTAAAGATTATTAATCCCAAAACAAATTGTTTGATTATTTCTATTTGATTTATTGAGTCCGCGTTAGGAAATACTATTGTGTTCTTTAATCAGCAGGATCAATTGAAATGCATCATGCCATTAAACTTTATACTGAACTCCATATCCCTTACAATACATATAGTGATATTTAAAGTCACATGAAGTAACCTACACAAGAACTACAGAGCCCCAGCACAATATTACAGAGGTATACTTTTTCGTTAGTTTAATTAAAAGTATAACTGAGTCGTCAGCTTCTGTGTGTATCGACCAGTTTGACTGCTCCTGTGGAGCCAGCTACACAAGCCGTACAATTAATCATATTTATCGCAGGATTTCTGAACACCATCCTAAGTGTGGTTAAGCAAGGAACGTACAAAGTCCATTCACATAGTGCTATTCTATCTCGTTTTGTGGATACAGAACACAAAATTGATGTTAACGAGGCTTTCAAACTCATCTACCGCATACCAACTAATCTTAACTTCACCTTAAGAGTTCTTCTACTACACACTGTTGAGGCCATTGGGATCCACATTAAGAAACCTTACTTATTTATCCAAAAGAAGTTGGTTCAGACACTGTCCCTACCTTGGCCATCAAGGTTCTAATGGTCCTGAATTTGTTGTGGAAATTTCCTTAATTTTATTCGATATTCTATTTGCTAATTAAAAACACCGATATTGTTAATGACGACTATTCTAGAATATCATATATATATGTATATATATATATATGTATAATTGTAGAACTAGAAAAGGAAATTATCGAAAAGGATATTCTTTGTTCGATTTTTTTCTAATTGTCTGAATGAATATTTTCGTTATTTTTTTTTCACTTTGCGACTTTCTGAAAGAAATTGATTGACTAAATGATTTTGCAAATGCTGTTAGCTGTTGTCGAAA